AATTTACATCCTATTGGATTCAAGTTCAAGAATTAAGCAGCCAAAGCAGCTCCCAAAGCCACAGCACGTCTTTTGCAAGAAATTAAGTGCCTTACATCTCACTTCCAGCATTTCTAAAGGGACTTGGCCCACCACATATAGCATGTGAGAGTCCTGGCAATGTGAATTCCTTCTCCTTGGTGACACTGGGAACTGACGTACCTGCTGTTAAGCCTACCCTGGTTTTAAGAAACCTTCAATGAAATTTAAGCTTAGGAGTTTTACCTTTCAGCTGAGACGGAGCAGAAACACAGACATGATTGGTTTTCCAGGCTCAGCTGATGGGCAGGAACCGAGTTACCACCAGCCCTGTTCCTGTAGCCTCAGGCACTGCACTGAGTCACTTGTCCCACAAGCTGATAAGAGCTACATCTCAAAGGAAAGAAAACTCTCTTCAAATTGGAAGAAGGATCACAGTGTCAGCAGAAAGGCAGGGAAAAAATGCTAATTTCAGCACTGTCCTGAAAACCAAGTGGGTTTTCAGGTTCCTGAGGTCTATCTGAGGTTTCATCCCAGATCCAGCTCAGGTGTTTCCTTGGCAGGTTTGTCTTCTGACCTAGAGCTTAATCCTTGCCTCTGATCTAGGCATCCTGTCTGCAAGCTAATGAGCTCGAAATTACTGTATATTTGTGTGGTCCTCTGAGCTCTGATGTGTGACACAACCACAGCTATAGCTGGACTTACTTCTTTCTTTATTGCCTGGGATTGCAGCCTGAAGGCCAGGCTTGATGCTAAAAACAATGAAATTCAAATCCCAGTTTACATGTGGGGAAAGATGGAGAAAGCACTTCTCAGAACCCAGGCTTCTGTTGGGATACCTCCCAAGACATGATTTTTAAGCCGGGTAACAGCACAGACCAGGGCTATCTTCATGGCAGAGGATTCCAAACACCTCATTCCACCTTGGTGACAGACAGCAGGGGAAGACTTTTAAATACTACTTGCCTGGGCTCAAAATGACTACAGGAACTAGTCAAAATCAATGAGCTCTTTATAGCTGCACCAAAGTGTTTTCTTCTCTTGGATCTGTTTTCTTCCTCCATCCTACCACCTGTGTTCTGCTTATTCTATGAAGCTGAAAGACTACATGGTGCCACCTACCCACTAAGTCTACTGTGAAGGTGAAGCCCAAGGCAAACTGCTCAAAGGTAAGAGAGAATGTTAAACTACTGTTATGTGGGGAGGTTTTTAATTTTTAGTAAGTACACAAACCTTAAAATAGTGGACAGCTTACATCAGAGTCTGCATATACAGTACCTTTCACCCCAAAGCAGTTTTTTTACATGCACAGAATACAGAAATGTAGGCACTCTGGAGCTGAATACAGCTGCTGCTCATCCAACACAGTGTGACAATACAAGGAGCGCTCCTGCAATCTCCACAATAAACCTCTGGGTTTTTGGTAAATGCACTATGGATTTCTGCACACTTGCTATACCAGAGGACACCCATATATTTAAAGGCTTCACCTGAGACAACAATGCAGAGCCAGCAAAATGCATTTCCTTTATGTCCTTTGGAAGGTCAAAAAGCTCCCCAGCAGAATATGCTGGAATACGGACAGCCAGGCTCTTGAGCAATTTCGTATCTGATATTCAGGTACTCACTAGCTCTACCACTCAGTGCCTGCCGTGACAGATATGTCACAACTAAAGGTCACGGCAAGGTTTCCCCTGCCAGACTTGCTCGCCTTACAGGAAAGGCAGATTTGTTCTTGCTGGGTTGCTCTGCCCGGTGTCCCAGGCACCGTGGCTTGTTTCGGAGTGCCCTCTGCCGCCCAGCCCACAGACCTGCGAGTCTGCAGGGAACGAAGCCGGGAATATGAGCGGGAACCGGTTCCTGACGGACAGCGGTCAGCACCGTTCAGCCCAACGTGCAGGTCAGAGGCATCGCGCTAGAGCCGAGACCTGAGCTCAGCATCTGGGTCTGCCTTCCCTGAGCTCTAACGGTTTGGAAAGCGCTGCCTTCGACCAGGGCTGGAGACACAAATGATTTTTACGTCTGTTTTCTGGGGCAACTCTACCTCAGCTCATGCTGAACTCTACCTACTCTCATGCCTCAAAAATCCCTTTCCCAGTTCTTCTCATCTGGGATCTGAGGTAGAAAAGGCAGCAGATGCCCCTTGCACTGGCACTGCTGGGATTCTTCATTTGCAGCCACAGGAAGCAGCTTTACTCTTCACTTCCACCCAGCCCACGTCATCTGACTGATGAGTAACTTCTGTCTCCAAAGTAAAATAGGAAAGCTGACTTTTGTCCTGCCCAAGTCCAAGATATGGAGGCAGGAATCTCTTTGGGGGTCTCAGGGCCTCTGAAAACTGCACAGAAACAGTTTCTCTGTAGGTGCTAAGAGATCAGATATTCTAGAAGGTTCTACTAACTTACAACCTATAATACTTGGCAAAATTCTTTAGTCAGTCCATTATCCTTACAGCTCCAAGAATCCTTACCTTACCAAGGTTCAAGCTGTTCAAGCTGATGCAGGCAGCCAGGCCTGATACCAAGGCTGAAGTTTGTGACCCTCAATACCAGAACATAATATGTTCCTACAATTCGTTACTTACTTGGGTTAATAAAGTTCTTTTAAGCACAACAGCCGTAAGTATCTTTATTAGAGCACTCATTCATGTCCACTCGGCTCCCACACAGGCACTGTCCTGCACAAGGAATAGCTTTGCAATATGTACCGGATTCTCTGTGCAGTGAGGGCAGGTACTGCAAAGCTCTGAGGTGTTTGCTCCAGTCATGTGAAGTTCTCAGCAAGGAAATGGTTGCATGAGTGCACACCAAGATGCACACACACATACAGTGTTCACCTGTGTGCCAACAGCTTAGATGTGGCTGTCAAAATGTAACTTGCAGTGGGCAAGAGAACTACATGAGAGCAATATATGATTTTACCCCTTATATTTTTGTTATCCAGAGGAATATTCCTCTGTGAGGTATTGCTCCTATACCTCTACAAGGATGGAATTCCATGACTCAACACTTCTTACATCTGGATCGAAGCTACCACCCCACATGTTCACTCCTAATCAATATATGCAGCTGGCACTGTCTCCTAGATTTGCTACAATTCAGGCAATTTTTCCTCTTCCACAGCAAAGCACAATTTGTTTTGTCAGGCTTGTCACTGCAAAGCTGAGATTACTTGCTTAAGAACAGACCGAGACACATTTCTAGCTCTGTGTCTGTTGCCAATGAGGGGTTTTTAATTCCAAAAGGTGTGTGTGTGGTGTCAGGATACATAGCAGTCTTTGTGTGGGCACTTATACTCCCAATAATAACTCCCAATTCCCTTCCCCTTTTGACTGCCATGCTTTCCTTGGAAAGAGATACCTGAATGCAGTCAGATAAGTAACTTCTCCCTTCAGTGAATTGCCAGCCATTGTTATCTGCCTTCCTGATGACTGTGATTGCTCATCTGTGTCACTGTGTCACCCTCCTGGTCTGCTCTCCCTGGCAGGCAGCAGAGCCACATGTAACATTCACAAACCATAACACAAGCCTGGTCATGGTTTCTTGCTGCCACAGTAAGCACTGAGGCTCCTGGTGGCTCTGCTGACCCTGGAGAGGGATGTGTTAGAATGACACAACTCACAGCAACACTATCACTGCTGTTGGGCAACTGATATTGTACCAGAAATAAACACAACAGCATTGCCTACAATGACAAAGCTCTGGTCACAGGGCTGCTGCAGTGGCAAGGGCCCAGCAGAAAACCACTCCTTTTGGTGAGGCTGTGCTAGTTGGTGAGCCAGCCAGTGCCAGGACTGCACGTTATCAGAGCTCATCTGCTTTTGCCAGCTAAGTAGCTTATCTAATAAATACACTATGTCACCTTACAAATCTTGCTTCTTCAGGATTATAACTCCTGTGACCTCCCAAATGCAGAATCCTTACAGAAGCAAATGAGTCGCCAAAAACCTCAAATGGCACATCGTGGGTAACAGTGTGGGGAAGGGTCCTTTGCACCAGGCCTGGAAACTGCAGCAGCACCTCCAAACATTTCAAGGGGCTCTCAGTAACAAGGTTCTGTCAGAGAGCCTTTATCTAGAAATGATCCTGTGCACGCTGTCTTTGAGTTGCCACATGCTGCCCAGCAGACTTTAGTCCTTGTTACATGGGACAAACAAAAACACCACTTCACACCAAACAGCACAGGCACAATATTTTTCATAAGGTCACACAATTAATTATGCTTTTAAGCCCTATCTACATTCAGGACAAATTCTTTTGTTTACTGCTCTTTTTTTTTTAGAGTGTTCATGTGGAAGCAAGGGGAAAGGATGATGAAAAAGAAAAAAAAGTCTAATCTAAACCATTCCTTATGGACCACAATCCCTTCCCCCTTCTCCAGCATTTTTCCACAGAGAACTCTAGCTCCTCTTCCCATGTTTGCTCATTTCATTGGCTCCTCCACCGAGCTCCCATTCCCTGCCCACATCAACCCTGATGCTATGCAGCATGTGCTGGGTGTCTGCAGGGGGTACCACGACCCTGGTACCAGCCAGAACATCACACAGGCACGTTGTGCTAATGGAGGTGGATTGCTTCGCTTCAGTCTCTAACACACATAATGAGATTAGCATTTGAATAGTGCTGATCAAGTTACCAGTAGCTCTGAACTCTGGGTCCATCAGATGCAAATGAATCACTATAAATTTTGCTCCTTTCTTAAGGGCTCTTTATATGCATGGCCAACACAGAAAGAACTGCAGTGGGTATTAGCCCAGGAAGTCTGTCTCTCACCATGACCAGGAATTTCTGAGAGTGGAGAAACCATAGGAGCATCTTTCCTTAGATAATTTTTGTTTTTAAGAGCAGGTTTTCTCCCTCTTTTTGATGCCTCTTTTCTCCCAGGACTGTGCAGGCATCAGGATGTATTCTGGCATAAGGTTCAGAGACAAAAACCTTCACAATACCTTCATTTAGGTCTTAATTCCATCTGTTCTTAATTACCTGAGTAACTTCTGAAAGTCCTGCCAGCCTCCTTGTGCCAAGGACATATCCTTCCCTGGTGGGAGGATGAAGGCGAGGTAAGTCTGTGCTGTCTCCAGCTGCACTGATTCAGTATCACCAAAGCATGAAGCGTCTCAGTGTTCTCACCTCCTCAGTCTCCCTGGAGGAAGATACAATACACATTCCATGTAGGAAAAATCATGTTTAGGGTGCTGACTTGCATGATTAAGTGTAAACAGCCTTATCCCCTCCATGGATGCTCAGTTATAGGGGAGTCTTCTCCCACCTCTGTTCTGTGGGAAGGAATCCCGAGGAGAGGGGAAGAAGGCACAGTCAACTCGTAAAAACAAAATCTGCAGGTGTCAGGTGAGCTCAGGCACACACCAAAGCTCCCCTGACACCACAGCAGGGAAAGAAGTTCCAGGAGCTCATCATTCCTATTAACATGGAGTTTTAACACATTCAGAACATTTCTGCAAGCTTCAGAGCAGAAGTTATCTCAAGTTATCTCAAATGCAGTCATCCTGGAGTTTTTAAGACACTACTGCAAACAAGCCTGTTCTTGCAGTAACTCCAGCTGACCACCACATGCAGTTGACTCCAGCTGCTTTAATTTCTCTGGGTCTAGAAACTCATTTGAGTTTTCATTTTACACAGTGCATTTATTTTGAGGTGCAGGAAAGAAAAATACATGCACATAAGCATTAACTTGAATTAACAAAATATTAGAACTCCTCATCACCTCCCCTGAGAAGAGTAGAAACCTTCACATTTCATCACTCCACCTGCTTCTCACTACAGGAAACGTGTGAGGAAGTTTACCATACTTGTAGTGTCAATCAGCTCCTTTCCTATGGAGCCTAAATAGGTACAATTGGCCGCAGGCACAGAGCACCAAAATTACTCCATGTCCCAGTTGCTTATATAATAAAGCTAAATTAAATCAATAATTAAAGCAGTTCTTGCACACTACTTCTCCCTGGTGGTCCTCCAAACCTCTTTACAAAGCCAGTGGCAGCTCCCCATTTTGCTAATGAGAAAAGCCGTTCAGAGCCCACCTTGCTGCGAGCCACTCACTGCACAGGCAACAGACAAGACCCATTTTAACACCTATGGCAAAAGCAGGCGTAATTTTTTAATGAAACAGGTGGGCTGCAGCCCTTCCACAGTGGGAAAAGGGCCAGGCCCCTCTCTGCACCACGCACGACACCCACCCCAAAGGCAGAGCTAAGGCACGCTGCCCTCGCTGCCCCCTCTTCTGCTCCCTGAGCTGCGAGAACAGCAGAGCAGCTCCCTGAGCTGCAGCGACCTCCCCAGCCAGCCTGGAGGCGGGATAACGGAGTCCCCCTTAGCAGCTCCAGCTTCCCTGGGACACGCTGGGAATTCCCTCAGCAAAGCAGAAACTCACCCTGGGACACCTAAGAGCTGACTCAGAGGTGCTCAAAAAGGCACACTACCAAGGGGTATAGCCGTATCATTGGCTCACCATCCCCTCACACACACACCACCCTGCACGGCTCGGCTCGCCGCCACAGCCCAGCTCCCGAGGAGCCCCAGGAGCCCGGCCAGGGCACCTACAGCCCCAGCTCTGCCCCCAGGGGCCACAGCGACCCCTCGAAAAGCGAAACCTTCACGCGAATAGCAACACCGTGCTCCTTCAACTGGGCGCGGCCCAGCCCCACCCTCAGGGCTGGACCCGCCTCAGCGCTGGACCCACCTCACGGCGCGGCCCCGCCTCAGGGCGGGGTCTCCCTCATGACACCTCCGTCCGCGGCACTGAGCGCTCTTCGGGGCTGGGTCTTTTTCATGGGTCAACGCTGAGCGCTGCTCGGGACGGTGTCCCGTGTTCTCCTCACGCGTCGGGGCTGGGTCTCCCTCACGACACCTCTGTCCCCCGGCACTGAGCGCTCTTCGGGGCTGGGTCTTTCTCATGCCTCAGCGCTGAGCTCTTCTCGGGGCGGCGTCCCGTGTTCTCCTCACGCGTCAGGGCTGGGTCTCCCTTATGACACCTCCGTCCCTCAGCGCTCAGGGCTGTGCCTCCTCACCGCCGAACCCTCCCCGGGGCTGTGTCCCGTGTCCCCGTCGCCCCTCAGGGCTCGGTCCCCCTCACGGCTGGGCCCCCTCGTCTCCTGCTGGCCCCGCTGTGGGCCGGGCCCCCTCCCCTCAGCCCGGTGCCCGCACTCGCTGCAGCCGCGAGGGGGCGCCCCAGGGCCCCGCCAGCCCCGCCCCTGAGGGGCACGGGCTGGACATGGGGGGAAACACCCCTAAAGAGGGGAAAAAACCCTAAAGAGGGAATAAAAAACCTAAAGAGGGGACAGCCTGCGTTTTCAAGAGCCCATTCTAGAATGACAGGCGTGTAGAAAGAGGACCCCAAAGACCCGTGTCCCAGCCCAGGGTAGGATTCCTTTGTCAGCAACACGGGGAAGCTTTATCCTTGGTCCTACGTTTCAGCTCTTGCACAAAACATTTATTTTATGAACAAAAAAATGTCATTTAAGATGGACAAGCAGCTGAAGAAGAAATCAGATTTCTCCATTAGAAAGAAAGGCCATAATAATAATGAACAGTATACAAACCTGTGGAGTCATGTCTATAAACTACAAACAGCGCAGGGCAAAAGATTTGCAACAGACACAAAGTCTAAGGTCTTTTATTACATTTTATAGATTAAATATATCTTCAGTAGAGTCTCTCTTTTAAAACACACAAAAGGAAAAAATACATTCTTCATGTACATATGAAATACTGACCACGTAGCGGGGACCATGTACAGTGCAAAGTATGAACACAGCTACACAGACATCACCACCTTGGATGATTATCAGGCTTTTTCTACAGTAAAATTGGAACAAGTTAACATTTCTGTTTCCAAAGAGAAATCCATACTCTTCCCTTCCATGGCATTTTGTGGGATTGTGCAGGAAAGGGTTTTATTTATGTTTTAAAGGTTTTATAAAATCCTTGCATTGCATGAAAAATTATCAAACTCCTCAAGCTTTGCCTCTTTCACACATTCATAATCATAGTACAATTTTTATTGTGATTGCAACCCAACTCCAAAAATCCAGGGAAAAACAGAAATATATATAACCTGGTATACAGAAAGGAATGAATCAGACTGATTGTTGCATTGTCCAGGAAACATGTACCCACATGTAGACACGGAAGATGGAAGATAGCGAGGTGTGACAGAGCGTCTCCTATTTATCACAAGTTTGGAGTGAGGGCACGGGGTTGCACGTTGCACTTCGGCAGTGAATCTCTAGTGTCTCTCAGTATGGGATGTCATTCTGGTAGTACTGGATCATGTCATATGTCCTACTCCTAAAGAAGAAAAGCAAAGCCAGAAGTAAGTCAAAGTTTAAAAAAACACTCCACCCATTGTCACAGAAACATTAATCAGCATTACACAGAAACAAAACATGGGTGAAGGAAATCAGCTGCTAATCAAAACTAGCCCTCCATGCTTTGAAGGTATTATGAAGGCCCAGTTAACTGTTATGACAGCACAAAACATCCTGCTCTTGTTTAAGCTAGGAAATGTATAATGAATGAAGCAAGATCATCAGGGCTGCATGGAGACAGGATTATGTGGAAATAAAAGTCATCTTAATTCAGGAAAATGCTAATATTGAAAATAAAAGTGCAGAGGAAATAACAGCATTAATAGTAGCATCTCTGATGAGTGACTGAGCAAACAAATCTCAGCTTGTACAGATAACTCAATTATCCATGGGCAGAGCTTATTCAGGTCACAGACTAACCATGCCACAGGTAGAGAAGCTCAAGCTTGTCAGAACTAAGCTGGCCTTGGGCATTCACACAGCAGTGTTACTGCCTTCAAAGTCCCCAGTATTCATCTAAGATTTTGAGTAGGTGCACCAGCAAGAACTGGAACATCCAATTCAGTTCTAGAGGGGCTGTATCTGAGCCAATGAGTGGTACTGGTCTCGAGCTGACCACACATGGAACTACACAAGTTTGTATTAGACTCTCCACAGTCTGTATTATCTGGGATAACAAAACATGCACTTAAGATGTTTAACTATGACATTTACTCTTTAGACTAACCAGCCTTAGCTTAAGTCTTCCTTCCCAGTGTAAAAGTGAGGAGATGCAGCATGTTCAGAAGTAAAGCTGCTATCCTACACTATCTAAATATCAACAACTCATAAATGTTTGATATCTGACTGATAAAACTCTATTTTTCAGCTCTGCTCAAAGCCTGATGACCTTCCTTTAGCCACAGGGAGAAGACATGCATAGATGCCAAACCTGTTGCTGAGGAAACAATTCTGGATGATCTTGATGATGAAAGTTGCAGCCTCCCGTTCAGTCATGTTGGGGCTGAACCTGTGTCTGTATGCAGAAAATCACAAAAAGCAGGAGAAAATTAGTGAAGATTCCTTTGAACGTGATACAAATGTGTCTTTGCATAAGCTCAGCTGCTGCAAGTACCTACTTCTTGTGAGACCACCTGGTACAAATTACATAACGTTTTAACAAGCACATACTGATAGTCTAATAGTGGAGACAGAGGCTGTGAACTTTTCACCAGTCTAGTGGTGACTCCAGGAACAGCCAATCCCTCTTTTGAGGCAGCTGCTGCTTTTAAAATATGTTTGTACCTAGTACTGCCCTTGAGCTCCAGCCCATCATACTTCATGAATCTGTGCTTATCTTTAGGAAACTGCAGAAAGTTAAAAGCAAGAAATGCTGAGCTAACTCTGCTCACTCTGGAGTGAACTGTGGAGGCATAAACCTGAAGGGCTGTTTAAAGTGTCACATTAGAGACTGTATTTGCCTACGCTGTTGCATGTTACTTCTTAGTTCCATTCAGTACTGCATTATCTGTAGAACAAATTTTAAGATGCTGTTATTCAGACTCTGACCTCATTTCAGAGGACAGACTCTGCAACACATCATCTCTCAATTAAAGCAAATCTTTCATTTACAGTTTTATTTTGCTGGTCCTACAGACTTAAAGATAACCCATGTACTTGCACAGTCACTGAACAGCTTGACCTTAATTCTACAAAATGGACTCTCTAGAATTCTTACTTTCTGAGATATTCTATAAACAAGTTCCTATTTTTACAACTATAGGACGTTTAAGATATCTGAGTAGCACGACACCTATGCTCACTGCACAAGCTGTGGCAATATAAATTCTGTGAAGAACATATGAACACATTTTCCAGTTCAGACATGCTGACTTACTTCAACAGCTTGATTGTCTGCCCTCGGAAACAGGGCAGCCCTGTATCCAACATGAGTGTAACCAGTGAGACCACAGCATCCATGTAAGGCCTAGAGAAAAAGGGGACAAAAAGGATACAGCACTCAAACTTCTGCAGCCTTAGCAGCTACAGCAGGCAAGCTGAGGAGTTCAACGAGCTGGATCACACCTTTTTCTGTAATTAAATCAACACAAATAATCCTCTTACATTTGCTGGTGAAGCTACACCATTGTTTGCAATCTGTCACCTTAATTAAATTTCACTCCTTTACTGCTGGACTCCCAAATATTCAGAATGCTGCAAGATGAAATGTCAAGGATTATACAAAGCAGTGCTTTAGCAAACAACATTTCTTTGGTATCAGAAAGGTGAATCAGTGCACCAAAACAGCACAAAAGGCTGAAGGCAGCAACAGGAACATATTATCTTTTAATTCCTAATTACTCTATGTAATTCTTTGCTACATTGGCCCAGCTTCCCTTCTCCTTCCTGTCCTCCTACTCACAACATTTATTATCTACCAAGTTATAACTCAACTACTTGGGTGACACATTTGCCTTGACACAAAACTTTGTCCAGACTGTTCCCCCTCAGGGAACCAAATTATCTTGACTCCAAGCCAGCCCCTCTGGGGCTCCTAGCTGAAGAAACTTCAATTCTGTAAGATATCAATAATACTTTAAACTCATGATAGAAAGAGCTTTTATTTAAACTGTATTGAACAGTCCTCCTCCCACCCACACGCAAAAGTACATTAAATGGTGTGAGGAAATGTGTGTAACATCACATTTTTGAATTGAATATATAAAATTTTCAAACATAAAGTAACAACAGAAAAAAATACCACAAAGATAAGCTTTAAAACAGTAGGATTATTACATTGTTTTAAAGTCTGCAAGATGTAAACAGGACAGTCCAACAGGCTCAGACCCCCTACAGATAAAGGTTTATTACTATTTATCTTCTCATCTGGTTTTGGGCATGCAAGCACTTCCACTTTTGAGCAGTTAAGAACACCTTACCTGACTGCCAGATAGCCTCTGACACACATCTCCATAAACCATTTGAATGGAGTTGCCTCCATTTTTCCTCCCATTATCATCACCATCTCATCTGTCAGCTTAATGTCGGGCTCCCAGCCCAGGTTTCCACCAGGTGAGCTTTCAAACATGAATCCAAAATCTGTGCACAAAAAGATAAATTGCCTCATAACTTTGTTGGTTAATTGTGTGCTGTTAAAGCTGACAGAAGAAAGGAGAGGTGGATTTCATGTATTAATACAAACATTTTAACTCCAACCAGAAAAAAGCTTTGGTGAAGTGTGGCAACACCAACAAAAGCATCATCACCATGACATTAGACTAGAGGTAAGAATGGTGATATCAAATAAACTCCTTGATGAAATATCTGTGCAGTTCCAGAAAAGCAAAGACAAAGCAGAGGTTACAGCCTCACAAAATTATATAAATTTACTTGTCAGGTTTAATTCATACCCCTACAGTGATGAAAGGGATCCAAAGACATGTTTCTATAATTACACACATATACACACACACATACATGTGTATGCATGTATGAGTTATGTATACATGTGTAATCCATACATATGTGTGTCTATACTTTCCTGAAGCTGATTAAACTTTGCAAAGCTAAATTTAAACAGAAGCAGCCAGCACAAATATACAACACTGAACAGGCACAGAAACATCCACGTACGTTTCCCAACTGTGAAATCAGTATATGGATTGATCTCCAAAGGGAAATGGCTTCTTATCT